GTGGCATCCGGAGGAAGGGTTCTGCGGGCGTCCAGCAAGGTGGTAGTAAGTTTAGGTTACCAGTTTCCACCACTGAACAGCAGGTCCCCGTGACTGTGGGGCTTTCCCCGTCGGCTGTTCATCATACGAAAAGTGTGTAATAAAAAAAGTCCCCGAAGAGAGACGAGGGTTCGATTCGTGAAGCCGTTAAACTACAAAGGGAAAGAGATAGTCTGTTACTCCTGAACGGGACGTCAACTGCGTTGTTAAGTTTCAAAAGCCATTTTCCAGTAATACATCCGGAAACAAATGTGGAAAGGCCGAGAGTTGGAAATTGTCATGAATTATTCTTGAGGTCTATGATGACTAGTCAGTAGTGTTTCTTATGACTAACCAGTATCGTAAATGCCATCAAGACTGTGCTAGATGATTGCGTGACCTCAAGATGGTGTCGAAACTTTCATTTTCAGAGCTTCCACTTGGATCTTTTTCATGGTTTTTTTATAAGTGCGTTATTGAGACAGCCCGGAGCGGAAACAGTCCGCGAGGATTGTAGTCGAAGTTGACCGTTTCTACGGGAGTGATCTGCAAACCTGTTCGAAATCTCTTCCACAGTTACTGCAAACTGCGTTCCTAGTTGGACATTCAGAACGAGTATATCTGTCGTTTCCACAAAAAGAGCATTTGGCTTTAGCCTCGACTGACGTTTGCACAGGCGGGCTCTAATCTTTTTGAGTTCACAAGAGTTTTTCCATATTTTCAGATTAACCCGAGACTGCAGCCGTATACGGCATTGGTGGTGTCTGGAAAGCGTTAGACTGTTGGTGTGCCATTTCAAGCCACCGAGCTAGTTCCAGGACTGCCGGTGGTCCAGGCATCTGTTTTCAAGAAAGCTCTGTCGCACAACGTTCGCTTGCAGCCCGCTTCTAAAGACAACTCGAATGGCGTCATCCGTTACAGCCTTGAAATCACAATATTCAGCTAGGGAGTTAAGTTTCTACAAGAACTAATAGAAGTTCTGCCTGGAGGCCACCAGTAGGTACCGGGCGAACACCTCGTTTGCCTAATTGACAGTTTTTTTTTAGAGTTTTCACCGCATCAGTATATGATGTGTAACCTACAGCATAGTCATAGAAATGTGACTGTACAATGGAATAGCGAGTCTAAATTTTCGCGATCCCCAACCCCGACTTTAATGAGAAGTCTGTCGAAGGTACAGAACCACTGCCACCGTATTTCGATTAATTAAAGTGTGGGGTTAGTTTCCAACCCTTCGGGCCGGAGATAGCGTTCCATTTTGAGATAAGTTGCATATTGAATAAACTGATTTGAGAGGCGATCGCATAAGTCGTTGAACAGAGAGAAGACAAAGATCCAATTTGTAGACTTCAACGTTCATTGTAACCAAATCTGGCCCATCCATACTAGGCT